AAGGGCAAGCAGAGGTGTAAACAGAGAAGTGAGTGAAAGCCAGCCACAGAACAGAGAGATGGGGCTGAAAGGACTATGGTAAAGCACTAGGGCTGTGCAAGAGAGGAGAGTGTGAGCAAATGCTGAGCCCAACCCCAAGACGTTATTTCCAGGAAGGTTATACAGAAGGTTATCCTGTTCTGGACACAGGGCCCCAAACAGACCCTGTCCGGAGCACCCCAATGCCAACAATTCTGTTACTCAGATGCATGTCCCCAAGTCCTTCTGGGTTAAGCCTTTTCCTTGAAAACCAAATGAAATACCTCCGAGGACATGCCTCGGCCCAGCGCCCGAAGGTTCCCTGCCCACACCCAAGCCTCACTCTGAATTCCTCTGTCTGAAGAATTCTTGACCGCCCTGCAGTGAGCTCCTGCTTGTAACCTCTCTCCATCATTCTGTCACCCACAGTCTCTCCTGTTATTGCCCCAAAACACCTCTAAGACAGGCTGTACCTGCCTCAACTTTACTGCAGTTCTCAGGAAATGATGGGAGATGGAGCACAGAGAATCAACCACCATCACGGGGTCTAGTTCCCATGTCCTAAGTTCCCTGCCACCCCCGCCCCAGAGATTCCTCACTCCCTACTTCCCTCAAGGCTCAACTGTGACCCTCTTGCTTGAGGAGTCCTCTTTCCCTACCGAGTCCCTTCTCCCCCATCTTTCTCCTTTTCGTGTTTTGCACAGTTCCAGCCCCCAGACTTCCTGTCCCAGAGAGCTGGGGAAATTCCTGTTATGTATCATGCATACCAGTAAAAGTCTTTTTTATCTAAACTTCTCCCATTCCCACCATGTCCCAGGGAGGCCTCACTCTAAATAAGCAAGTATTTAGAAAGCACTTTTTTTCTGAAAAAAAGTAAGTGCAATTATCACCTCAGGGGGGTTCTTCTGATCCTCCTAGTCACCCAGTTCAAAAGGCAACTAGCTGTTAAAATAACATTTTTCCATTAAATAACAATAACTAATTGAGTCTGCACATTGGCATAGCAGGGTACTTTACATTGATTTATCCATTTTCCAGATGAAGAAATTGAGGTGCAGAGAGAAAGCAGAGCTAGGAAGCAGAAAAGTGAAAAATCAGCCAACCACCAGAGCCAGTGGTCAGGCAAGGGAGGTAGGTGGGATGCAAAATTTAAGGTGATACTCATTCTCAGATGCCAATCCTGCACTTGCACACCCAGGAAGTGGGTGCCTCCTTAAAAGCAAGGTGCCTGAGGCTCAAGAGCTGGTGCCTGAGGCTCAAGATCTGGGCAGGGTGAATGCAACTTTTATTTTGCATCCTAGGTGCCCAGGTTGCATCCCGGTGGCCAAACCCTGCACTTTTCCTCCTACAGCCCTGAAACGTGAGCGAGTAAAAATCCTCAGGAAGAGGGTGGCCTGGGCCTCTGGGCTGGCATCCTGATGCGAGCCTCACCTTTCCTGTGCAGGTGGGGCTGATTAATGGCTCTGTTAAGGAGAACCAGCTGCTGCCTTTAGCATCCTCCTGCAGAGCTCCTTAATTACTGGGCTTCACCTGTTGAGTCTCCTCAAGCAACATGAGTGTATATTTTTCAGTGGGAAAACAATTCATTAGGAAGTGCCAACATCTTATAGAAGGGAGAGCCCCCAATTAATTCCAGAACATACTACTTCAGCCATGTAAAAGGTGCTGTTTTTATCTGAATGCTACAGAGCCCCACCTCCACCCCCCAAACCAAACCTTCAGCAGATGGTGGGGACCCCATCCATGGAGAGGGGCCATAAGATCAGACCACTCTCTTCTCAGTTGCCATCCATCCTTCAGCATCCTCCCTGGGGACCCCTTTATCTCAGTAGCCTTGAAACGACAGCAATAGCACCAATCCAGTACACCCCCACACCCAGGAACCAAAACTGCTTTAGCATTTTGCTTTAGCTTTAGCATTGTTAAACAAATGCAAGCAATGCAAATGGCTAAAGTTATTAATAGACATTTTGACGTAGGATAATATGCCTTAAGGTATTAGAATCCAGGTTCTAAGACAGCAGTTCTCAACTCTCATAATTAGGAGATTTTTTTTTAATTCAAATGCCCAGACTCTGGATTCAGATTTAACTGGTCTGTGGTATGGACTAGGGCATAGGATCTTTTAATCCTGATCTAATGTGTGACCAGGATTAGAAACCATTCTGGTTTATACTGTACTTTTGACAGATCGCAAAACACTTTCTAAAGGATGGGTCCCGAGTCCTGGTTCCCAGGTCCCAGACATAGTATCACCGTGCCAATCATAGTGCTTGGCACAGAATTTGTCATGATTACATGTTTATATAAATTAAAGTTCTGTTACTTGAATCCTACATTATTTTTCAATTATTTTGCCTTATGCATATATAAATTTTACATAAATACATACAGGTGACCAAAAACATGTGTTTATATGTGAAAGAGAGCACACTTCAATTTCCTTATCACTTTTTACCTGCATGCCCTGCCCCCTCTCATTCCTCATATAAAAAACTCTGACTGTGGGGCCTCCCCGGTGGCGCAGCGGTTGAGCGCTGGGTTGTGAAGCTGCCCGCGGCCTCTGCGGCGCCAGTTCGATCCCCGGCTGCTCCCCGGCCACCAGCGGAGGGTCCCACATGGCGCGCAGACCTCTCCTGCTGCCCGCTGCTCCCCTCAGCAGTGTACTTCGGTCCTTCTGCCTGGTCTGCTCCCCGCTCTGGCTCTGGTGAATTCTCTCACCCTCCTGCGCTTCTGACTGTACCCAGTGCATGTATGTATAAACAAACAAACAAACAAACAAACAAGCAAACAAATAAATAAATAAAACATGCCTCTATTAAAAAAAAAACTCTGACTGTGATCTTCCACATCCTCTCCATCCTCACTGAACTCTAGACAAATACGTAAACATACACAAGCATGGGTGCTCACTCTGTTTTGTAGAACGAGGCCATAGTATGCACACCAATGCCTTGCAGAAAGCCCTCCCAGTCACTGGCTAAAGCTCCACGGCATTGTCTTTGAAGGGCACATACTAGTTTGTAGCTTACTCAGTCTCCATTTCCCCCTATGAAGGGCACTTACGGTGCTTCCCATTTCTCCCCCATCAGAAACCACGCAGCCACAAACACCAGGTCTTCAGATGCCTGAGCCACCTGTAAAGCACAGATGTTCATGTGGATCTTCCTTTCCATCCCTGGGCACAGGCAAATATCTGGCAAGCCTGCCTTGATGCCGTTATTCTCCATCTCTGGTCAAGGGAAATTTTAATGAATCATGAGATCGTGTACACAATAGAAGTCACTTTACAGTCTGCAGAAGGCTTTGTGTTGAAGTTGGGCAAATACAAAGCACATGTCCAGGTTCTCTGTGGCCAGCCCCATCCACAACTCCACTCAGCAGAAAGTGGCTCAATAGCATCATTAACAGCCCATTGATCCAATTATATTTCTTTCTGTTCCACTTCAGAATTACAATCCCTCGTTGCCCCCGCAAGAGCCCAGATAGATTCCTGATGATCAGTGGTGGAGGTAGCTGCCATCAGGACTCGACTGATGGGCCCAAATGCTCATGCAATGGTGGCAGGGATGAATTAATCTGGTTGGCACATCAAGGAAACCTGCTCGTTTCTACAGCCTCTTAGTTTTTCTAGTCAGATTCAAGGTGCAGCCAATGCAGGTCAACCAGGAGCATCACTGGACTGCCCGCATCATGTGTTCCAGGCAAGCAGGCACTCAAGAAATAACTGTTGAGTTGAAAAAATTGCCCAAGGGATCCTATTTTGGGGTTCAAAGCAGAGCAGTTGGTGAATAAATGGGATTTGTCCAAATGGTCTCTTTGCAGGATGGGAACTGGAAATCTGAGTACAGAAGTAGTGCATAAAATGTATTTACTCTAAATGAATATAAGAAAGTGAAAATCAAAATCAACAAAAAACTATGAACCAGAGACACTTGTTGGGGGTGGGGGCGGGAGGGAAGGATTGGGGTCAGAATGGGGCGTTTGCAATTGTATGGGGGAATATAAAAATAAAATTTAATATTTAAAAAAAAAATGTATTTACTCTAGAAGAAGGCAAAGTCAAAACCTTGAGCAACAAGTGAGGCAAAGACAGGAATTAAATATGTACTCTGAGTCCAGTGGGCAGGATAGTAAAGGAGAGAAACAGAGAGTAATAGGACCAGAATAGGGAACATTCACTCACTGACATACCTATGAATACCAGGCACTGTGCTAAGTATTGATGGCCTGGCGGCACAGAAGTCATAATCCCAGCCCTCACTGCTCACGGTCTTACAGGCGAAACCACGACACAAACACACAATCACAACACAGACTTGACAAGTCAAGAGCTAAGAGGGAAGCCCAGGGAGAGCTGAGCGTACATGGAGAGGTGCCTCAGACAAGCTGGGGAAGCTTCCTGGAGGAGATGGATGAGGAAGACAGTAAAACTGAAGGGAAGGGGAGGGGGGTTGGCAGAAAAACCATATATATTATGAAAGACTCATTCCCATTGCTGTCACCTCAACCTTTGACTTCTGCATCTAGACACCCAGCTGGTGAGAATCTGTACCCACAGCCTTTTCCCTGGAGCCACCCGCCCTGTGTTCTCCCACCTCCATGCCTTTTGCCTACCCTGCCCCTCTGCCTGGAGAGCACCACCCTCGCCTACCTCTCCAACCTGCAAAACCATCTCCCCGCCTCCCATCAAGGCACAACCCAAATGCTACCTCCTCCACGAAGCTTTTCCAAGTTCCTCTACCTGGAATTAATCTCTGTCTCTCTCCCTGAATTCCAATAACACGCTGCCTGTTCCTCTCTCACAGTACACAGCACTCCTAACACTGTATTGTAATTATTTGTGTACTTGTCTTCTTTCCTCTACTAAACTATAAACTCTGTCAGGGCAATAGCCTTGTTTTACCCACCTTTGTATATTCCCCATGGTGCTTTATCCACGGCAGGTGCTCAATACATGTTGAATGAAGATTCTGTTTAGCGCATTCCAGGTAAATGAAAGGCAGTTAACAGACAGCTCAGCCAGGATCAGTGGGCAGTCCCAACTTTATAACAACTAGAACTGGCTGCCTTTGACTTAATGAAGTTCCCAGAGTGGACAGAGATTCTTTAAAAAATAGTTGGCCTAAATGACTTCTAGGGTCATCCAAACTTTGCCAGGTTACTATGATGGAGAATGGTTGATAAACAAGCAAAGACGAGAGAATCCCACTAAAAGGTGAAATAGGAATAGAGGTAAGTTATTGCCATTATTTTTACACCTGGATTGCAAGGGCATTTATTAGATTATCAAATGACTAATCGATTAAAGTGAAAGATTCATTCTTAGAGAAATGAAGAGCGTGTCAGAAACGAAAATTGTAATTAACCTATTTCTGAACACCTGAAATTCATTTTAAAAGTTTGATCTACATAATAATTGATCCAAGATCTGATTTGATACACCAGTGGAGTCAAGCGATGAAGGCTTTACAGGGTACAAATCTCGACATACCATCCTGCTTTTTAAACCCTTCGATGACACAGCACCCCCAGTACCCCAGGACACACTCCTCGGTGCTCAGCATGATGTTTGAAGCACTGAATATAGCTCTGGCTGTCCTCGCCTTCTGACATCCCATGACACACACAGACCCAGGATCCCGATCTCAAAAGCCTACAGCAATGCAGTGGAGGGTGCTGGGCCTTGAGCAACACTAGTGTCTGCCCCCACTCAAAAACTGAGCAATTTCCCAGCTCCAGCCCCTTTTTCCAGCAGACACACAGACTCAGTGTTGCAAGCTTTTCCAAGTTTTCAAAAGAATCAAGAAAACTCATCAAACATTGTACAAAAATAAACAATGTGAAAATAAATAAATCAGGAACTCCAAATTGTTTTTATAGGATCTGCCACTTTTCAATGTTGGCTCAAAAATTCTTTAAACACTGTGCAGGCCAGATAAACCCATCTGTGGCTCATGAATCCCTACCCTACGCTTTATTTAGCACCTATTATTTTAATCTGCTTTGTGTTACTCTAATATGCAGTGCTCACTTACCTCCATATCCCCTTCCTAATTTTTCCTCTGCCTTTATCACTCCTCTCCATTTCTTTTTCCTGGATTCATTCCTACTTAACTTTGCTTCTGGCAGCAGTTACTCCTGCAAATTATCCATTTCTTTGTACTTATATTTGCTCAAATTTTTGGGATGAACTTGAGTAGCACATGTTGTCACTGCTTTCCCACTTCCCCTAATACCCTTGGACATTTCCATGCACACAGTTCCCCCATGGGCTTCCAGTCTCGGTAGCCTAAGGCTATTGAGATCCACTCCACAAGCCCATGGGAATTGATGGCCGGTGCAGGAGTAGAAATACTTCCGTTCCCTTGTCCCCTGATGAAAATAACTCCAAAATATGCTGTTTCCAAATCTCCCCTGAAGATTGAACCAAAGTTCTTTTCTGTTGCACTTTGCTTATTATGACATACTTGCTGTGTCTTTCCTGGAAACATTTCTAATAGATCAGTTTAAAGGAGTCCTTGTTCAGGATCTCCTTCCTGGTTCTGTGACAGACAGCCTCTGACGTGGCCTCCACTTGTCTCTACCTCTTGTTTAAGCCCTGTGCAATCCCCTCCCTTGAGTGTGACTTGCTTCTAGGTTTCACAGTGATAGGTATCATCTCTAAGACAAGTTTAGAAAATATCAAACTTCCATTTTGCTAGCAGACTACTGTGTGCTCATCTTGCTTTGATAATACAAGATTCCACATGGGAAAGACCCACGTGGCAAGGGGCTCAGGTGGCCACTGGCCAGCAAACAACTCCAAGCTTCCAATAACCATTGAGTTTAGAAATGATATTTCCCCAGTTGGGCCTTCAGATGAGACCACAAAACTTGAGCCAAAGCTTGAGGCTTTGTGAAAAACCATGAAGCAGAAAACCCAACTAATTTACACCCAGACTCCTGATTCCCCAAAACTATGAGATAATACATGTGTGTTATTTTAACCTCTGAGTTATAGGGTGACTTGTTGTGAAGCAACAGATAATAGTTCTATAATCAGAAAAAATTCTATCCTTGACATCTCCAGAAAATAATTTCTGAGCCCCCCCAGGCCATAGCCCTGTGTCCCTCGTGTCATGGCCTTTAGCATCCTGAATTTAATCCTTGATGTCCCTTGCCTCTCCCCATTTGTCTTCCCTACTCATTGAGAACAAACCTGAAAGTCCTGATAATTTCTTTTTATCAAAACATAGTGTCTAGTATGTAGTAGATGCTGAATAAATGTCTGTTAAAGTAATTTGCTATTGTTTTGCCATGAAATTTTGGCCAAATGTCTCCCTATACGCCATCATTCTCCAGACACCAACTCAAGGGTAAAGCATTCTTCAATATTCTGCAAGATCCTCTCTCTGTTTCCCCTGCATCATTTTCTAAGCAGCTTCTTCTTTTCCAACACCAGGGTGCAAATCAATTTCACATTGACACTTCCTCCCATCTGTTCGATTCATCTGTTGGACGGTCACTCGCTGCCACTTCAGAGCCACAGGGAGTTCACTCTTCCTTTCATACCCCTCTGGGAAGCCCATGGAAATTATCTCTGATTGATGTGATTCCTTCTTTTGGTCCTAATGACAAAATTACAGCAAAATCCAGTCCTACTCTGCACCACACTTGGAAGAAATCTGCTCAGCGTTTGTCTGCCAACCACAACAAAAACTTGATTAGCTGGGACTCGGCACACATTGGTTTGGAATTTTTGTTTTGTTTTTTTATTTCTGGTTAGCTAAGGGATAAAACCCCCAATGCCTCAATAAAGATGCCATTTATTTCCTCCCTTATTACTGGGAAAAAAAGAATCAATAGGTTAGCCCACATTGCTGCCCATTATGAATAAATTCCCCCAAAGAAATTGAGTTTCTCTCTCTCCCTGAGTGAATGAGCATGCTGCAGGCCCAAGAACCATGCAGTCTCAAGCTAAAAATGGTGTTAGAAATTAGGCTGAATCAGGAGAGACCATTCACATATGGGATTTTTATTTAATATATATATATATATATATATATATATATATGATATTCCTTGTCTTTACCCTTTGAAAAGCAAAGGTTATTTGAAAGTTCCAGATTCTTAAAGCCCAACTCTTACTAGTTGTGTTATACTTTGATAATATGGTAGAGATTCTTTTACAGATACCTAAACCCAAGCTTACTGGATTAATTTCTCATATTCATTTCTACTCAGTGGGTATTCAAAATCTCCTGAGCACCTTGGATCCTCTTCCCTGAAGATACATGAGACTCTCTCCAGAACCTTCCCATGGTGTGTGGCATTGTGAGAAATGAAACCATCCTTTGGACCAATCTAACAGATCATTTTACATCTAGGAAATAAAGAAGAAGCCAGAATGATAATTTGATACCTTGAACAAAAATCAACCGCATATTAAGGGAGAAGAATTATAAAGAAAGGAAAGAGGTTGGTGACTATTAACTCGGGATTGAGAACACATTCTTCACTCCTGATCACAGTTTACAAGGCCCTGCATGACCCAGTCCCTGCCTACTTTTTTTGACTACATCCATGCCCATACCCCCAAACTCTCTGAATCAATATGACAAAGAAAGAAAAAGTCTTGTATCGGCCCACGATGGTGAGTGTGTCTACTAAATCACCTACCGTGTTACAGTCCCTTTGCTAGACCATGCCAAGCTCTTCCTACCTCAGAGCTTTTGCACTTGCCATTTCCTTTGCTCTTCCCCAGATAGGTGCACAGCTGACCCTAATTATCCCTTGCTACTCAACTCAACATCATCTCAGAGAGCCCCTCCTAGCTAAGCTGCCACCTTCCATGCCCAGCCATTCCTGATCATGTTCCTGTGTTACAGTTTCTTCATAGCTCATTACCATTTTTAATCAACCTAATTATTGTCTGGGTCCACATGAAATGATAACCTTCATGAAAGCAAGGAATTTCCTGCCTGGCACTTGTGACATCAACATGCCAGCACAAACCTGCCATGAAATAGAAGTTGAGAAAATATCTGTAGAATGAATACAGAAATAACCTTCTTTCTGAGTCCTCCCTAGATAAATATTTTTATCACCTCCACTTACAGATAAGGAAGTAGCGGTACTGAGCAGAGGCGGAGACTCTGCAGGACTACATAGCTGGCAGGGACGAGCGGGCTGGACCATAGCACCATCTAACTCCACAGCCTGCGTTCTCCATCAGTACTGGAGACTGTGTGGGAAGACAGGAAAGTGTGTTTTCATCAATTGTTTTCCAACTTCTATTAATGAAATATGTCTGAGCAGCTGTGACAAGAAGAAAGTCTTTTATCAGCCCAAAATCTTGAGTCTGTCGTAGCACGTTGTGTCTTTCAAATCAGATGCTGCTGTTTTGTCAAATATCAAGAAACTACCACATCTGTCTCTCTCTCATGTACCCCTTTCTCTAGGACCCTCTCACTAGGCAGCTAAGATCCAAGCAGTAGATGAAAGTCATGTCTGTCTAGGATGGTTAGTGAATGGATTTGACAAGCTCTGTATTTGAGGAAAGCCATCTGCCCTTCGCCCAAATTTTCTCACCAAAGTCACCACCCACCAGCATGAAAGTCAATGGTGCAAAATTGTGGGAATTGGGTCCTGCCACTCTACTGGTAGCCATTTTCTGGGAAGCAAATCCTTTTATTCACCCCACTACCTATACTCCCATCTTCAGTTTCATTAACATTGCCCCCCACGTACGCCACTCTGCTTTGCTTCTTGTCTCCAGCTTAAAGTTCGAAAGCCTCACAAGATAGGTAGGTGTTTTATGTTCTGGGTGTTGAAACATGGGGCCTCCTAAGGAAGTGGCCTGCATACTGCACCCCCCCCATGTAGCAGTCATTCCTGAGCATGACTCATTTGGGGAATGCTTTGACCCAGCATCAGAGCCGCAGACAACAAGTCCCCAATTTTCCTACCCAAGTTCCACTTACAAGAAAACCATCAGTGACCTCACCACACTCAATGGACTGAAAATCTCTGGCAAGAAAGAATTTTAGAGGTGACCTGACAGTATAGTCCCACCACCAGTTACAGAATCAAAGAGAACAATTATAGTTCAAAGGCAAAATGTGTGCTATCTTCTCATTATTTTTTCTGATATTAAGTCTTTTTTATTAAGAGAATCATAATGCTCGTTCTCTCTACATGACACTTTCCATCTTTAAACATTAACTAATTAATTGACTGAAATGGTATCTCGGGAGCATTTATCATCCCTCCCATTAGCCAGCGAGCCAGGCAACTGTCTATAAAAGCTGTCGAACACTCAGTGGAGGCTTCGTCTTTCTGCTTCCCTTCCCAGAAATGTTCGTGTGTGTGTGTGTGTGTGTGTGTGTGTGTGAATATGTAAAAGGAAAAAATAGAGGATTTTGCTTCCACCAACCACTATAAAAATCTACCTCTGGGAGACATGGAATTTCAATTGTGAAATAATCAGTCTTGGAAATTGTCCTGTCCTCCAGGAAAAGAAAAAATAAGTAGTTTAACAGCAATTGCCCTTCAAAACAATTACTAATTATAATGTCTATAAAGAAAAATACCCTCGATACCATTACTCCTAATAAAGCCAGGCAAATCTATAGAAAGGAATTAGCTAGCATGTCTAAAATCTGATGGAGAGCTCTTGGGAGTGGTCAGAAGCGGGTGTGCTCCAACCAGCTTATAAGCCCAAATCCAGAGCTTTAGGAAGCTTACCACCTGGGGCAAGCCCCTTCCAGCAAACTGGGAAGATTAACACGGGCCTCTGAGAAATCAGACTAGGACAAATCAGAGAGGTCAACCCAAGATATTTTTCCTGACCTGTGTTTCTGTCCTGCCTGTGGCACTGTCTTCCCTGGTCCCTTCACCTCTTCCTCAAACAGAGGCCGGTGTTTGGGATTCCATATGTGAGTCATGTCTCAATGATCAGTATCATCCTCTCCCCACAGTCCTCTGAAAGATACAGAGGTGCCTGGGAAGAGACACGTCACGTCCCTAAGGCCTGGGGATGAATTTGACTGTCGAATTTCATCTGTTTGGAACAACATGGGGGGGGGAAAGCAAGAAAAGGAACCAGAGGGGAAACTGGGTGGCAGTGCTGAAGATGGGAAGAGTTGGTCTGGCCCCAAGTGCCCTATTCTAACCTGTCCCGAACAAGCAGCCAAATCATTTGAGCTCAGATCCTCAGACCCTGGGTCCTCATCTGAGAGAGGGCAGAGGAGGGTTTAGGAGAGCTGGGGTTTTACACAGTGTTCAGACAAAGGAACCACTCTGGCTACTTTAAGCAAAAAGGGATGTATTCCTAGGTATAAGGTGACTAAGAAAACCAATGGAAGAACCCAAAGAATTGGAGCTTCCAAGAAAATCCCCTCTCCTCTGCAATGCTGGGGAAAACTGCCACTGCTTGGAGGAGACGCTAAGTCAGGAGGCTGGTAGAACACCCAGCAATGTAGGAATCCACAGCAGCGAAGCAGTTGCACTGTGCCTTTTTCCTTCTGCACTCAGCCCTGAACTCAAGGCGCACAGGAGCCCATCAGAACCCAAGTCAAATCCAGAATCTTAACTGCAAGGAGTCTATGAAAGCATACTGTTTCGATTCCCAGCCTCTGCAGCATGGGACAGGCCAGTCAACAGAGACCCGGGGAGAAGTGGAAGAAGACCATCTACTGGGGCACCATGTCTGACCATTAGTAGGTTCCCCTAAACATTAGTTTATCTTCTCTTTCCCAAAATTTTGAAAGTGGCCTGTGACTCATCCTAAAGAAGGAAGACAGCTGGGAGCAAAAAAATGATTATCCTAAAGCATGTGTGAGGCTGCCTTGGGCATCTTCAACTAAGCGATCTGATCAAACCTCAGAGTCATCGTATTTCAGGCATCCTCCTGCCTAACAGCAAGATGGGAGCATTTTCAGCAGCAGCATTAGAGTTTACTCTTTGAAATTTCCCTGTATAATTACATTCACTTTACCAATTTAACCAGTATTTACTGGTTAATATTAATAACTTGGAATCACCTACTAGATCCCAGGCAGAGGTGACTCCTCCCCTTCAAAGAATGAACAGTCCAGGCAGAAAAAAATTGGACAAACCTTATAAATTACAAATTCCAATAAACACCAAAGGAAGGGAATAGGGTCCTGTGAGCCAGCAGAAATAGGGGAAAGCAATTCTGTTCAGGGAGTCAGGAACAACCTCTCTGAGAACGTAACTTCTAAGACTGAAAGGACAATACCAGGAAAAGTGAGGGTGGAGACAAGAGTGGTTCTGGCAGAGTAGCATGTGCAAAAGACGGCATGTTGGAGAAGCCAGGGAATACCAGCAAAGGGAGAAGGACAATAGGGTGAGGATGACATTGGCTGTGTCCCCCAAACTATTCATCTGGGGGTGACATTCCTGCTGAAGTTGGAGACTGGAGTCCAGACCTATTAGACAATGAACATTTCACAAAAACAATATCTAAAGTAATGTGTGTTTACCTTTCTGCATCTTAGTTGTTTCTTCAGTGAAAGAGAATAGTAGTAACCCTCTCCTGGATAGCCGCTAACCAGTATGAAGTTTCTAGAAGATGGCTGGATACAGTGAGCACCACAGTGTCTTCAGTGTCCACCACACCAGTCCAGAGAGGGATTCTCCACCAGGTCTTCCCCATTCAAAGCCCCCCTTGAGACCCTCTCTAGCCAACACATAGCAGAGACACCCATGTGACGCCCTCACATGGCCACAGCTGACCGGACCAGAGCAGACACCCGCCCACCTGGGCTATCAGACGCTCACATGGAAATGTGAAACAGACACGAAGCCTGAGTTGGTCAGGGAGTGTCAGGAGCCAGGAAAAGTCATGGAAGAGGAAGAATCAGATTCTTGGATGGAAAAGTCGGGAATAGGAAGAATCAGATTCCCTGCAAGGGGAAAGTGACCTGGGCTGCAGAGAGGAAGTCTGCAGAGAGGAGAACGGAGCAGAGCAGATGTGCAGAGATAAGCTCCAGAGAGCAAGAGGAGAGGAAGCCTGCTAACAACACCCCAAGCCCATGAGGTCCAGCTGCCGGCACTGGATTCCCCGGGAACCTGCTGTGACCTGACAATAAAATTCCACGTTCACTTTGATTTCTTTGAAAGAGTTTCTGTTCCTTGAAATTAAGCAATCGCTGCCTAAGAGACTCATTGACACAAAGAGCCAAAGTTTTACTCCTGAATCAGGTCGTGGGAACACTGACCAGGGGTCCCGCGCCATCTCAAGGTCTTTCACACTGCTCTTCCCTCTGCAGAGAAATCTCTCCCTCCCACTTTTCATAAAGCTAGTTCTCACTCACCTTCCACATGCCCCCTTTGAGTAACACCTCCACAAACTCCTACTCTGAGTTGGACCCTTGCTGTGGTTTCAATAGCTCCTGGGACCTCTCTTCGCACAGGCAACTCTCTTTGGTCACATGTCCCAAGGCTCCCACCACCCTCCTGCCTTGTTTCCCCAGACACTGCATGCCCTGTTTCCTGCTGGGTCTCCAGGACCTGACAAAGGGTCAAGCACACAGTAGTTGCTCAATAAACATTTGATTAATGACTGTGAAATCATCTAAAAGGAGCAAATCGATTTTTTAGCTTTCTTTTACTCTTTCTTTCATGGAAAAGAGTCTCATTTTGCCCTGCTGGTGCTCTGTTCTGTGCACGGTGTTTGGGCTAAAAGATGAATTAAACATGACCCCTGTGTTTAGGACCTCACAGTCTAGGCAGAGGATATGTAGGTACCTAAATGCATTATGATGTAACATGACTATTAGCAGAGAGAGAGAGAGATTATCGCGGAAATATTAAAAATCATTTATCTTCGATGATCAAGAAGAGTCCTGTTTCATTTCCACCACCTTTTGAATTTCCTCAGAAAATGAAAGTTGTTTGGCTAGCATCTGTCCTCCCCTCTTCCAGATATAGCCCCCCACTTTTCTTTTTAGAGAAGCTGCTCTCTCAGTCCAAGAGCTGGGGCCAATGCCCTCCACCCAGCAGCAGGCAAGGCGTGTGCTCCAGGTCAGTAAACAGACTGACGTGCTCCTCCAGTGACTGGGGGAGATCATGTAGCAGAACTGTGCCAAGTGAGAGTCAGCCTCAGGATTCTTGGGGGAAGCAATGAAAAGGACAAGCTCTTTTTTCACCGAGTCTCTGAGTGGGTAGCAGCCTTGAGTTGTGGAACCCCATCTTGTGATCATGAGGAGGAAAAACTCCCAACAAATGACGCCTACGAAGAAAGTAGGAAGCCAGAGAGAAAATGGCACTTCTGATGTCACCGCTCCAACACGCATATACAGCCAGCTCTTCTGGATTTTTCAGTGATGGGTCAACAAATTCTCTTTATTTCTTATACCAGAGTTTCTCAACCTCAGCACTATTGATGTTTGACAGGATGGGGAGTGCCCTGTGCGTTGTAGGATGCCTGGCAGCATTCCTGGCTTCAATTCACTACGCCATTCTCATCTCACCGCTGTGGCCCCAAAAATGTCTCAAGTCAATGCCAAGTGTCCCCTGCAAGGCATCATCACTTCCTACCACTGGCTTCTGCCTGTTTGGTCAGGTTTCTATTACTTGTCACCAAAAGGAGTCACGACCACACACTAATCCCTCCACTCATGCCTCACTTAACCCCCTAATTTCCAGGAATAACTTTTACTCCTATATTTCTTTACTTTCCATGGTTCCTGAAACATCTATCCACAGGCTTTGCTCCCAAAACCACTTGATCTAGTTCACATTTTTTTTTAATATTGGAGTCAATGAAAGTCAGTCAATGAGATCAAGAACAACTTAGACCTCAGTTCCAGCAATACTTTTATAAGTGGCAGATTTGGGCACATCGATTATACCCTTTTCTCTCCTTTAAAATTTTAAATATCTTCCCTCATTTACTTTCTTTATTTTAGAATTTTCAGCAGTCAATTCTCCTTTATCCACAGACCTTGCCTTCGATGGGAAACTAATCAATAAGAAATTATATTTTTGCCAGGCTATTTTAAAGTAATGTAACCAACATATTTCTCTCTCATTCATGGCTTTATTGATTGTGAAATGAAAACAAAAAGTCGGTGCAGACTCCACACTGCATTTCTGAAGCCCCCATGCAATTCACTTCATCCCAGGCAGCTTCATGCATCTGAGCCATTTCTCTCAGTGGCCTTACTTTGGGTGAAGCTGGTGGTGGTCATCAACCACATCTTGTAAATTAAAGTTCAG